ACATAGTTTCTTCTGGCAGTCAGATGGCCCAGAAGGAAGAGAACAGAAGTTTCTGCAAACACTCTGTAGAGCATTTAGAAACTACCTGCCTGTGACCCTGTTCTCGAGCTGATCTCCATTGTTGTTTTGATATCTATCAATGTTGTTTTGATACTGTACTTTTCAACGACAATTTTTCTCAACTGTGCTTCATATCTTTACCTGTCAATATTATTTGCATAACCAATACAGTTCCATAGTCATAGTCACACAGGACCACATCCTCCCAAGAATTCATACTCACACACGACCACACCCTCCCAGGAAGTCATAGTCACACAGGAACACATCCTCCCATGAAGTCACAGTAACACAGGACCACATCCTCCCTTAAAGTCATGGTCACAGAGGACCATGTGCTCCCAGAGTGACTTTGTTTCTGAAGAGACTAAAGATTGAGCTAAATCTTATCCTCTGGGAACAGGGATAAATGGCATGTCTATGGATGAATAGTGTGCTCTTCACAATGCAGTCACTCCCCTGCTGCCACAGGTTTTGAAGTATATATTCACTAAGGAATGAATGTGACTGACAGATGCTGTAAGACTCTCAAGAGGATTCAAGTTCAGTTCCCAAAACCTATGCCAAGTGACTCATAATACCCTTTCATACCAAAGCAAAGAAAATCCATGTCCCCTGCCCTTGAGGTCACATGCAGTCATTAATACACACATGTAGCACTCCAGCACATGTGTGGGTGTGCACACACATGCATGCACGCATGCACACACGCATGCACACACATGCACACAAATACAAACACACTCACATATTCATGCATACATGCACATGCACACACTCACTCTCACACACACTCCTTTAAAAATAATATTTTTTCAAGTTGTATGTTGAATCATAAAGTACTGACTGCATCCATGGTTTCTGTCTCCAAAGGTCTCTCTCCTTTTTCTATTAACCGCAGCCCCTTACTGCTTGAAGCATGATCTACAACCTCTCAATGTGCTAACATAGTTAGAATGCTTCTTACTGCAAATCTCTGAATGATGTAGGCAAATAAAGACTCAGAATATGTTATATGAGGCTAAGGTTTTCTTTTTATTTATAGTGGGTCTTGTTTTTCTGAGTTTCTCCCCTGACAACTAAAAAACTTTATCTTTCTGAGTACAAAGTGAAGTTCCACAATATTTAAGAGGCAGAGAGGAGGCACCGGCCATTGTCTGCCAAAGACCATTATTCAGTGATTTCATCTCCCTCTTGTTTTTGTCTATTTCCATGTAAAAACAAATAAAAATCTCCACAGTAATTAACCATCATCACTGCAATACACATCGGAAGCTGAAAGTACCATGTCACCTTTCACAAAAACAGTAACCAGAGTCAAAACATTCATCACAACTAACAGTACCTATGATGCTACAATCTTCCAGGACTTGCCATTACTATGTTTGTATAAAAAAAAAAAAGCAATTCTTGCCTCTTGTCTTCATCTAGCCATGGAAAATTTGATGCTAAACACTCTATGTATTTTCCTCCTGGGTATACCTCTGTGTTAAAATTTTCACTGAGTTATTTTAGTATCCAAACTTGAAAGGAACATTTGAGTGCACATAGTTTAATAAGGAAATATAGGCAGCAATTAAGAGGGGATTTTAGAGGGATCATAAAGGGAGTTTCAAGAATGAAGGTATAATAACTTCTTCAAGAGCAATATGACAGCAACACACAGTTTTTATTACATGCATTCATTATATGTATGTATGTGCACATAACATCCATTGGAGGGTCAGGAGACAATCTTTGGTAGTCACTTCACTCCATCCACAGTGTCGATTCCAGTTATTAAAGTTGTGTTGTCAGGGTTGGTGTCAAACATCATCTTTATCTATTTGGCCATCTTGATGGAACCCCATGGGGAAGTTTTTAAAAGTGCTAATCCTAAAGCAGAGCAAACCTCTGGGTGTGTAAATTTCTGCTCTGCTATATAAACGGGGAAATAGCTAGAATTACATTTCTTGTATAGTCTTTCTGATAAAAGCATAGAAATTTCTCCTTGAACAAAGGGTTAATAATATTTTCTTCTTTAGGAAAACATTACATCAAATTTCTAACTCTCCTTTAGAAAGCAGGTAAAGGTAAAGGTCATCTGCATCACTCTGAACATTGCTATAGCAACACAATACTGATTCATAAGACTTATCTAGATTGTAAAAGAACTGAGGACACTTAAAATTCATATCTTAGTGACTGTTGTAACTATGACAGTAAGTATTGGTTCCTGCTTACTACATGCTCCTTCTAACTCCAGGTGGCCTGTTGGTCTTGGTCCTTCTTGGCTGAACACTTGACTTGGGTGGAGAGGTGGCAATGCCTGATAAAGAAGACTGAGCTGTACACAGGGCTGAAGCAACACCTTGGAAATATGACTGGTGGTGGCCTACTGCCCGTTGTGAACCCCACTTCTGACTTAGACTTTGATTACTTCTGCTGGCACTGCCATGCCCAAATGCCCATCAAAAGTGATATTTTGCATATTTTAAATTGATATGATGCATAGTGGTTAAAAAACATGGAAAGAGATTATTACGACTTTCCATGTCTCCAAAGTTTTGAGTAACAAAATAAACCTCACAATCATCATACATTGCTTTATTATTGAATATATTTTAAAACAGAGCTACACTGCATTAGCATACACATGTATATTAGAAATGCAAAGCACAAATTTGAGGTTCACCAACTTTGTTTTCAGAGAATGAAAGGGAATAACACTGAGTCGACAAACAAGAAAAATGATGACGATTTTATTGATAAATGTTTTAAATGTTATCTGAAATTTCATTTGAGTATAACTGTATTAATTTAGAGGAATATGCTTAAAGGATGTCATAATTTTTCAAATGGCAAATATAACTCTATAAAGCTTTGAGGTTTTCCACTTTTACATTTGTGTATTTATGGGCATTGGTCACACTTACTGAAGAAGAAATAATATTGCATTGATCACACATGATCTTGTGCCTCAGTTGTCAAAACAGAATTCCTATAAGGTCACAGATTTTCTGGCTCCAACCATTATAAGTGAGCTCCAGAAAGGAAATGTTTTGGTGAAACAGCCTGCTTCCCACAACAGTCATTTTCTTATATTCTTGGTTTGAGCCTAGCCTTTAATGGCTGAGCCATCTCTCCAGCCCAATAGTCTCAAATGAGCACACAGCACGAAGAATGAGAGGCTGCAGACTTGCACGTAGCCTCCTGGAACTGCATAAATTCCTCATCCCAATTCCCTCTATAAAGTCTAAGTACCTCTTCCTTCCTTGCAGCCCTATATTTCCCATGAAAGAGTGCTTGTCCTTTACTGTTTGAAGTACTTTCATCTGTTGAGGTCAGACGGTGGTCTTTTTCCTGCCTTCTGTCTGTATACTCTGTGCTCCAAATCTAACAAAGCAGCCATGAGCTGGTGTAAGGATGACATCCTACTTCCCTATCAAGTTGTTATGACAACACAGCCTAACCAGGACCACTTAGTAGATAGAGGATTCATTTGACCGAACAATGCCAGGTTGCAGTTCATCATAGCATGGAAGTCACAGCAACAGAAGCTTGAGTGAAGTTGTCATACCATACCCATAATCAGGAAAAAAAGGGCATAGAATGCTTCCAAGACATGTTCTACTCAGTCTTTCCACTTCACTCAGAGTGCACGACAGATCTGGAAAAGGAGCTGCCCATGGTCAGGCTGTATCTTCCTACAGGGTTTATAGAAATCTGCCACAGATGCTCACACACAAACATAATCCAGATGAGTCCATACTGAGATTCTCTTCATGGTAATTCCACCCTGAGTCAAGTTGACTGAACTTGATGGAGCCTCTTTCTTTCTTTCTTCCTTCCTTCCTTCCTTCCTTCCTTCCTTCCTTTCTTTCTTTGTTTGCTCCTTCTGTTTTAGAAGCATATGTTTCTTTATTAATATATCTCCTAGCATAATCTAGTAATAAGCTTAATATCTTTTTTGTGGCTATGCAAATTTATTTTTTAAATTTTTATCTAATTTTATTAATGTATTTTTTACATTCCGACCTCAGTTCTCCCTCTCTCCTCTCCTCCCATTCTCTCCACTCCCTGCTCCTCCTATCTGCTCCACAGAGAGGGTAAATCCTCCTAGTGTAAGTCTACAAAGTCTGTCCCATCATTTAGTTGAGGCAGAACCAAGGCACCTCTCCACCTTTACACCCCTGTGTCTGTGCTGGGCATGGCATGTCTCCATTTAGAAACGGCTCCACTCAGTCAGTTTGTGCATTAGTGTTAGGTCTTGTACCCACTGCCAGTGGCCTCAGATATTGTCCCAGAAACATCATTGTGACCTAAATTAAGGGAGTCTAGTTTGGTCTTATTCAGGTTCCCCATTTGTCAGACATTAGTTATTGATCTCTCACTAGCTTGGGTCAGCTGATTCTGTGGGTTTCCTCATCATAGTTCTGACTCCTTTGTTCATATTTTTGTTCCTCCCTCACTTTGATTGTAGTCCAGGAGTTTGGCCCATTGGTTAGTTTTGGATTTCTGCATCTGCTTCCAAACAGATGGAGAGTGTTTCTAAGGCTCCTGAGGTGGTGAGCATAAGCTGTTACACTTCCTAACACTAATCTTCAGTCTGAAGTAGGAAGAAGCCAACATTTGTCCCTCTAGTGCACACTACATAGGCATCCACTGCAGTCACTGTTTATGTGTAACTAAGTTGTATCTTCAAGTCTCTTGGAGACTTGAACCAGTCAGTAAAAATCATTAAGAAAGTCTACTAAACAACCATTAGGGAAGCAAACATACCTCAGGAATTATTGTATGATTTCACCCAGCTATGCCAATTTTCCTGGAAGCAGATGGAGCACCAATGACAGACCAAAGCAATGACTGCAGACAAGTCCATCTTGGGGAACTAACACATTTATTTACATTACTTACAGGAGCATGGATGATCCAAAATCATTCAGCCACAGTCCTCTCCAGCATCTTACAGGTTTGTGTTCAGCTCCCCCTGCAGCCCCAGACACTGTACACTCAGAGCACAGAAGTACACAGCAGAATCACTCAGGTGCACAGAGGCTTTCTTCAGGTGGAAGGAAGACTTCCTCTTCTGAAACTCAGCCTTAAAGCCATTCACGCCATGAACCACAGGGTCTCCTGAAATGTACCTGAGGAGAAACTGAAGGCCTTGGCCATGGTGATGCATGTACCAGAAGAGGTAAGAAGCTCCACCATAGGAACAATTGCATCTGAGTGCCACAGAGTTGCCTTCGAAGACAGAGACATAAGAATCAGGCTGAATAACTGACTGTGCTTGGATGTCTCCTGCAAAATCAATAAATGTGATGCAGACTTCATGGAGAAAAATGTTCTTACTACAATTCAAGTGAGAAAAACACTGATTCATGTACATACATAAATAATGAGAATGTTTTACTCACCCAGGAAAAAATGCACCCCCAGGAACGAGATGAGGACTGGAAGCATGGCTGAGCACTGGGAACACCTCTGCTGCCTTTCTGGAAAAGCTTGGCACATGCAGGGAAGTGGCTGAAGTCCCAGTTCTTGAAGACAATGGCACAAATCTGACTAGACACCTTCCACTTTTAGAAAAAATTCTAAAATAAGCCTGTAGAAGTGGCCCTGGTACTGGGAACTTTCTGGCGTCTGGCTATTTTCACTTCTTCACTTATCAGATGTTCTAAGAACTCATCCAGATACATTGAGCAACTGAGTGGAAGTGGGGATCAACTGTAGATATGGAAGCAGCTAATCTGTTCAACATCGCCCTCTGGCTCAGGATAAAGACGCTGAAGCAAATCTATGTCTTCTTTCTGTGTAGAACACACCTCATGTTCCTAAACTAATCTGTGCTGTGTTTGTTGAGTCCTAATCTAATGAAAAACAGGACATGCAAAATGGAAGGGTAATTTTCTTTAGAAAAAAATGGCCATATGTTAAAACTATTAAATTTGGAGGTCATCACCACTTGAATATAAACACATAAGTTGCAAGAAGCCCTGCTGCCTAAACATTGTCAAAATCCAGAGACTGGATCTTCAAAGTGTGTTTTGTTGAATCTTTGAATCCAGAGAAAAATCCTGCCTTCCAGGCATTTTCTCATAGCATTTTTTTTTTAGAGAGCCAGAACAATGGAATCAGTTTGAAGTTCTGTCTTATCCTTCTGACCAGGTGGCTCTTGGATCTGAGATGTCCTTATTTTTCTCCCCACATCTCTCCTCCTGCCCCATTCCTTCCTCAATTCTCTACCCCTACACCACCCCATGTTTAACTGAGAACAAAAAATCATTAGCAGTGTGTTTTCCTGAGGATTCCTTCTTACAGAAGAAATCCACATTTTCTCTCACAATTCATATGCAGAGAGCCCTCTCACTGACTGGTTGAAATGGAAACCAGTTTGTTCAGAAGCTATACATAACCCTACTGATTTCATGAAGGGAAGAGCTAAGGCTCCTTAGGCTTTTAGAATTGATTCTACTAAAGAGTCTACTTTTTATCCTAATCTGGATTTGGTACCTTCTAATATCCCTAAGTCCTTGTGGTGGTTGGAATAGTTATGACCCCCAGAGACTCATGTGTGTGAATGCTTGGCCCATAGGTAATGGCACTATTAGAAGGTGTGTCCTTGTTTGAGGAAGTGTGTCACTGTGGAAGCAGGCTTTAACTTCTTTTATGCTAAGGCTATACCCAGTGTGGCACAGTGTCTCCCTCTGCTGCCTACAGACCAAGATGTAGAACTCCTAGTTGCTTCTCCAGCACTATGTCTGCTTGTATGTTGCCATGTTTCCCACCATGATGATAATGTCTAAATGTCTGAACTACAAGCCGGCCCTACTTAAATGTTTGGCTTAAAAAGAGTTGCCATAGTCATGGTGTCTCTTCACAGCAATAGACATCCTAAATACAACAATCCTGGTCCACTTGTTTACTGAATGCCCTAAAGTTTGATCACTGTCTGTAAGGATTAATATCCCTATGGCAATTGCCTGAGCAATATAGGCTCCAACCAGAAGTGGAATGGGGAGAGATGTCCCTCACTTCTTGAGCCTTAAAGCCTGTGGTTCATCTCAAAGTGTGCTCTCTCTTCTTCTCACCATATAGTTACACCTGGGGCAGGATGTGCACTAGCACACACAGGAGGGATTTCTTGGAATGCCTTGGAAAATGGAAATTTAGGTACACCATTTGGGCATGCCCACCAAGTGGTCTCAGAGGCCATAAAGTATTCCTGATGATGATAATTGACCAGGAGAGAGGAATAGAAGCATCAAAGTAAAGTGAGTCTTGTAGGTCAAAGGCCCCGAACACCAGGCAGTTTCCAGCTCCCAGTAGTCCCCCAGTGTTAACATAGGCTTTACCCAGTTACAATTTTTTTTCCGCTGTTGGGCTGATGGTCTGACTGGTTCGTAAATCTATGTAGCAATGAGATCAAGGATTCAGGCACAGCCAACAATACTTACCAATTCCCAGATAGGAGTGATTAAGCAAAGGTTGAACCTTGTCAAGGGTAAAGAATATAAAAGGATTGGTGATTACATTTCTCCTCTGGCTTATGAAAAAGTTTTCTAATATCCTGAAAACTAGTCAGCAGTGGTGAAAGCACCCACTCATCTTCTCCATGTTCAGTAAGATATGTATTAGCACATTAGCAATGTGCTTTGCCAACAGATTGTGGGCAACAACCAATAGGATTGGCAATAACCTTAACTTTTGGGGGGTTTGATTAGATGTAACCCTGTCCTGTAACTAGAAGGTTGACAATAGTAGTGAAGATATCTAGTTGGGGCATTGTTTCCCCCATTATTTGGTGACTCCGCTGAGGCTTCTTTCATATGTGTATATATTTTAAGAAGCTCTTATCATAGTAGGTTTCCATAGAAGCCCTCAAACAGTCCTTAGTGTTGGTTGTCATTTCCTATATTACATCCCATGGTGCCACATGACAGACAGGTAGTAGGGACCACTCTCACAAGTTCACAATTTCAGACCTAGTTCACCCACACCTCCACCAACAGAGTTGACCCTACTCACCTGCCCAGGGGATGTACAGGGCCTGTTCTCCTGAGTGCTGCAGCTGGTGAGGAGCAGGTGCAGCTCTCCCACTCTTACAACCTCAGGGCCAGCTCTCCCACCCACCTCAGGCACAGAGGGGTCAGAGAGGGCATCTCTTCCTTCCCATACCACCATGTGTCAGATGAGGGGCGGGGCTAGATCTCTCATGCTCATGCTCACTCTGTTTAGTGCACCTGTGCCACTGTAAACAGGGTCAGCTCCACTGTGCTGCCCAGACAGGGTGCAGGGGCCACTTTCCCAAGTGCTGCAGCTGGTAAAGGGAAGGCCAATTCACTTACCTGCTAGAGGTGATAGGGATGAAGGAGGAGGGTGTCTGTTCCTCACTCCCAACACCACACCACAGATGAGGGAATTTGTACCAGCTATGCCCCAATCATGTCCTCAGGACTGGCTCACCTGAGCCCCTATCTACAGAGTGACTCTAGAGAGCTTCCCAGGTGAGGTGTAGGAGCCTCTCTCCTGAGTCCTCAGCCAGTGAGGGCAGGGACAACTTGTTACAGCCCTATCCTCTCTGCCTTTGGTGGTATCAAGACCCAGGGACATCAAAAGCGTCCATGGCTGCATCAGAGCCATGAACCCAGACCTGGGCCCCAGTAGCAGCCCAGGCCCAGACATTAACACAGCCCAAGGTGGCATTTAAACTGCCCACCCCTTTCACTTATCACCTCTTCCATCTCTTCAGACATGCCTCTGTCCATGGGACATAAACCATTCTGTGTGTGTGTGTCTCTCCCATACCACACCATATAGTTGCTCACCATAGTAGTACATGTCTGCCTGGTTCCACAAGGTCCCTGGCATGTGGGACTGTGTTTTCCCCTTAGATCCCATTGCCCCAAGCCTGTGTGTGGGTCCTAGTCCCACTCAGTCTTCCATGGAACTTAAAAGGACCATGTTCTCTCATCACAAAGCAGTCCTAATAGTGCCCAGCTGCCTATTGCCAGTCCTGGTTGGTGTGGACTTGTTTATGAAGTCCTGTCCTTGTCCTGGAGCTGGAAACCATGAGCTGCATTTGGTTGAGTACCACCCTCCCCAGCTGCATGGCGTGGGGTGCAGATGTTGCTCAGGATTTTATGCTTTTACCTAAGAAACACTCTTCTGTGTACATACAATATTTTCTTTCTGTGTTCATGTGCTGATTTGACAGCTAACACAATTAATGAATTGCAGTATTGTGACTGAGTGAAAGAAGCAAAACATGGGAGGATTCACACTGTGACTATATTATTCCAGCCTCCTGAGAAATCTCAGGAGAAAATGACACAACTCCACATTGTTGTCACTTGGGTGAAGTGTGGGGGCCTGTTAAAGGAGCTTGTGGCAATCTGGAGTTGAGGACATTTTCAGCAGTGACATGAATGGGACTGCTTGGACATTAACAAGCTTACATTTTCATGAGCTCTGTGCTTATATTTTCTGTCTTTAAAACCCCAAGGTGAGTAACAGAAACATTAACATCCTGATGGTAAGCAGTACCCCTCATCCAGGAAGTCTGGGGAAGGGGTGTCAAGGGTTGGAGCTAACAGCACAACACTGCTTTGTTTTAGAAACATGTGTGCTTTCTAGTAAAAACGTAAGGTTTACAAGGTAGAAAGGAAAACGCCGAAATATGAAGAAATTATGTGCTCTGACAGCATCCCCTGACATTGTTAAACTGAAGGACACTGGTCTTAAATTGAATTGATGTTAATGATGTCCAGATAGATTGATAACATAAAGGTACTAATTATATAGAATTTTTTCTAACAATTTGAGGAAGACATGGACAGCAAACACATGACCATCTTGGTCTAAAATAGGACTATGTTAGAAGACATCAAGACATGGCTATATTTTTATGAAAATGATACTATTTCAGAAAAGTGTGTGCACCTATGCAGACTCTTTCCATAACACCCAATACTAGAATCCTGATGCTCCCTGCCCAGCTGTGCCTTTGAGATTCATGTAAGGGAAGCTCTGTAGACCTATGTCAGTGAACAGGCAACTGTTTGGGGCAGAGAAACAGACTGACAGGAATCTCTGTCCTTTGGATAAATCACAGGTTTATTTCCATGATACTGCTTGGAAGGAGGTCATTGATATGGGGTAATTACTGATTTGTGGAGAATAAATGACAAGGAGGCCTTTACATATTTCCTGAAGCCTAGGTCTTGGAGCAGATGTCTGAGAGGGCACAGAGGTCTTCAAGCTTAGAAGTAGTGCTATGTGGAGAGTCTTCCTTTTTTAGTACTGTGACTTTAAGCCTTTCTGTTTTCATCCACAGAAAAAGGTAAAAGAGGATATAAGCTGAAGGAATCTGCCTGGCCTTTTCCCAAGTTCTGGACTAAACAAGTGTAGTTCTGTGTCACTATAGTGTAGGTCAGTACCTTCTTCATCCTGGGATGTCAGGG